GGAGAGACGCGGACCCCTTTTTCTAGTGTTTAATAATTATGACGCATAGTAAATAAAATTTAATGTAGTATTATGCATTCGAGCAGAAATCATGTCAAATATGTTATTCTTATATTTTTCTATTACATATAATATCATGAAAATCCAAAATAACAGTAGCACAATTTATAAGCCTCTCATTTGAACAGGGAAAAAGATACATAAGCCTCCTCTTCAGCACTTTGAACCAATGATATCTTATATGATGCGTGGATTTGAATACTATAAACTGCCTCTTTGAGAGAATTATAGATTGTTTGAGAGCGTGCCATATATGACTAACCTTTTTAGCAGTCATGAGTACAATAAGCCGGTTTCAGCATTATTTTTTACTTTTCCATTCCCACTTTTTCATTTATAATGCCCGTGGGAAGCCAACATTAATTTTTGTCATTGAAGTTTTTTCATTTCCTCCCTTTAAACTTTCTGGATTCGTCAAGATTTACATGATATAACCGCATGCAACCTTTTTGATATTGCACATGACAGTTATTATGATGTAATGGGTCTATGGGGACCAACTCAATTACACACCGATGTTTGCTGGACCAAAGATAACGTAGCAAAAACCTCATTTTGTAGTGATCTAACAGGAGCAAAAACAAAAAATAAAAAATAAATAAATAAATAAAAATAAAAATAAAGAGATAGAGCACACACTCATATATACACACATATATTTGGAATAAAATTCTCGTGTCCTCATTGTCTCTACGTGAGCACAGTGCAAAGATTAGCATTTTGAACTCATACCTTCACAGCAAAAAGACCAAGCTACCTGTTATTAAAAAAAAATAATAAAAAAAAGAATTATTAATAATAAAATCCTCATGTCCCTCTTCTTTCAACGTGAACAAAATGGCATGTTCTTTTGTCCAAAAAACTCAAAAAAAGACAACTCAAGTTTCAACTTTATTCAAGTTCACGTTCTTTTAAGTTTTAACTTTATTTAATTTTACTCAACTTTATTCAAGTTCTAACTTCAACTCAAGTTATAACTCAAATTCAACTTAAAAACTACACTCAAGTTATACTTCAAAAGAACAACCCTAAATTTTAGACTTGTACAGTTGTACTTCACGGAAAAAAACTAAAGGGTTTGTTTTTTTGAGTGAAAAACTCAAAAAAATGCAACTTGAGTTACAACTTTATTCGAGTTCATATTCTTTTAAGTTTAAACTCGAGTTTAGGACTAAAACTCGAGTTCAAGTTTCCCTTTCAACTCGAGTTCAGAAACTCAAACTCAAATTAATGAACAATATTTTTTCTATTCTTAAAAATGCTATAACTTTTTCATTTTAATTCTGATTGAGATGATTTTTTTTTCTATGTGTTGACAACGAAAAAACGAATAAAACCCGACCCATATACCATATTAAAATTTTTCATCAACATTGAGTTTTTATTAAAATACTATCTAAATATAAATTCAAGTTTTGACTTACTCAAACACAAACTCAAAAAGATTCTCATCTCAAACCATAACTCAAATGTACACAACTAAACACAAATTCAAGTTACAAGTTCAACTCAAGTTATAACTCAAATTCAACTCAAGAATTATACTCAAGTTAAACTCTAAAAGAACAAGCCCATAATTTTTGGGTTAAATTTGAGTTATAACTGGAGTTGAACTTGTAACTTGATTTTTGTTATTACATATCACCCTGGTCACTAATAAAAAGATGCCCGTCATATTTAAAAAATAAAAAATAAAAAATCTTTGTAAACACATTGTGTCATAGAGACGAGTGAAACGATTTTGGAAAATACATAACGTGATATACTTGAAAAGCGAGGACAAATTAAGAAGACAGATAAATGGGACAAAATCTCTTCGTGCCTTTTTAAAACCTTCCATAGTTATCTTTGGACAAAGACACGAAATCTTTTAGGGCATATTTGTTATTAGAGTACCGTCTTAAATAATAATATAATAATATAATATTTAGTATAATCGTCGTATTATATAAATTTATACGGATAATAAATTAATACGGTCTATATTTAATAATACGGTTCATTTTTGACGTATTTTATTTTATTATTTTATAATAGATCAATAATTTATGTCGGGATTAGGCACAACTAGAAGTCGAGGTCGACCGACATGGGGTCATTGAAAAATTTACGAAGAACAATGCAAATTTAATATTTATTAAAAAATACATTTTGACCCTAAAACTTTTACAAAATTATGTTTCAATCCTAAAACTTTTATAAAATTACACTTTGAGCCTAAAATTTTTATAAAATTTCATTTGGACCCTAAAACTTTTGAAAAATTATTTTTGACCCTAAAATTTGTTAAATTTTACATTTTAACTCCAAAATTGTCAAGATTTTACATTTTGACCCGTTATACAATACGTCATGATACCAAATAATGTATTGTCTTATGACAATACAACACAATGCAATACACCGTATACAATACAATACAATACAATACAAGCTACCAAACATGTCCTTAGTGTGTAATTGTTGTTGTTTTTTTTCTGAAGGGATACTATATGTGTGAGGAACTCCAACCATGTTAGACATTTCATGTTTTCAGTTAAAATTGCTAATGATTTAGCCTTTTTTTTTTTTTTTTTTACTTTTCAACACTATAACCATTAGCTAAATTGTTAGCCATTTTGAAGAACGCCTTTCACACTAGCTAAATTTATGGAGAGGCTAACAATTTAATTTTTATATTATTTTATTCTTTCAACCGTAATAAACGTAAAGATTTTTTTGTTAATTTAATAGATATTAAAATAATCTATATTTAGCTAACATAGAGAGTATGATTAGAGTGTTTCACTACAAAATTGTTAGTTAAAATAACTTTATAGCCATTTAACTAAAATTTAAAGAGTTCTTGAGAGATGCTCTTATTGAAACTAAAAAAAATATTTATGCGTCATTTCTTATATGTTCCTTCTCTTTGGTTATATTGGGCCCACCAATGGCTTTACTGAATCTTACACGCATGGGATAATACTCCTGAGGTTTTTGCTTTCTATAGAATATGATGAAAGAAGGAACTTTTTAGGTGGAACTGCCCTAATAAATTGATAGAATGGCTAAGCATCATGTAATGAATGCTCTCTTAGTGGTCCTTCATTCTATTTATAGAAACATTGTTTCCTCTAATTTGTGTGCTGTTCTTGTGGGGTTAAAAGGGATTAATTTGCCTTGTGCATATCAAATGATAGGTGAGTAGGAAACTTTCAGGATAGCATTAGCATAAACAATTTTTACGCCTTATGTTATCCGGTTAATAAAAACAGATCCCAGTTTCCATATAAAAGAATTTCAATCTATTTGTATTATGTGAAATTTTAGTTATAGACACATAAAAAAGCACTTATTAGTGCAAGATTTATTTTTTGAAAATAAATTAATGCAAGATTATGCAACAGGGACAAGGTTTTTTTTTTTTTTTTTGATAAAACAACAGGGACTAGTTTTGAACATGTTAATCTTGGCCACAACATGATTCCCCGTAAATTTACACATCAAGCTGCAGGGTAAACAGTTAATGGTGCAGGATGGATAAATCATCAATTTTTTGGACTAATAAGCTTGAAATTCAATCAAATCCCAGAAGAGTTTTTTCTCAAGGAAAAAGGCCACTGCAAATTCTTGCATATTCCTCATTTAAGAATTTCCACAAATGCTATAAATTAATAGGCAAATTATAAGTAAAAAAAGCACTCAGATTACTGAATTATAGATTTCTGTTAAAATGCGAAGAGTCAAGAGTCCAAATTGTGTTTTCATATACATAACGTCTCTATCTTCTACGTGATCTTAATTGCGTTGCTTTCGTGTTCATGTAAATGATCTCATTTATTTGTTGAATGCTCAACCAAGTTCCAATTCTATTTGCCAGGATTAAAGCTTTTTCCGGCTAGTCGTTGATAATAACGTGCAAATATTGTATGCATAAGTTTTTCTCGTTTCTCACTTTCCAGAGCAACAGTTTGATGCACTTCCACAAACAATTTCCAAAAAAAAACAAAAAACAAAAAAAAAAAAACTAGAGAAATCCTGATACATAATTTTTATTAAAAAAATAATAATAATAACAGAGACACGTATGTATACCTTGAATATGAAGATAGCATTGTACTGCTGCTAGTAAGGAAGGGTGGGAAAAAAAATGAAACAAGTTATTGGAAAATCTAATACAATTCATTGACAACCTGAGTTGTGGAATATTGCATATAGGGGCAAGGATAACCTCGAATCGAATTCTCCATAATCCTCTGTTTGCTTGTTTGTTATGGCATTAATGAAATCAACTTCTCTACATAAAATAAATTTGCCTAAAACATTCTCTTTCTGTTACAAACGGAAAAGATAAATATAGCTTTTGTGCTAATTTGTTTAGAAAGAAAATGGGACAACTGAAGCTAGTTGTCACACCTAAGAGCATTTTCTGCACGTGTTAAGAGTGCTCCAAAGGTAAAGGGAGTGGATTATGAAAAACAGTGCAAATTGGGCTGGGTTTCGCTTTTGGAGTATAGTTACTCAACCAACCGCTTTTATATGTAAATTTCATTTAAATTTACAGCAGTGGTAGTATATCCAAATACCAATTCTCTATAAATGTGATTGTCCTCTAATTCACCCAGGGATCCTTATAAAAGGGCCCTAGGTTTTTTGGTTAAATATGGAGATGACAAGGTACTTATTTTTACATGGGAGTAATAGCCATTACGAATTATGATATTATAAGCTTTTAGACTGATCTTAACATCAGATGGTGAAAAGCAGCAAATCTCTTTATCTGTCCATTATTTTCCCTTTTTCTAGTCTCCTTTAGTTTTCATCTTTGGTACACACACACACACACACACACAGAGGAACAGTACTTTAAAAAAAATCAAAGCAGATGAAAATTGTACAATCCATGTCAAACACTATGCAAGACTGTTATTATATGATTACAAATGAATTGAGCTTCCAAAAACAAAACCTTGCAACATATCATCGACTATATTACAGGTAAGAATCTGGGAAAAACCGTTTGGTACTTGGGAATTGGGTGCACACGAGTCAATATATCGCCTTCAGGACCTAATTATCTTAAAAATACTATAAATATCATTGTTATTCCTTTATGTTCTATGAGAATGAGAATCATTTCTTTGTTTTAATTTGGGGTAACAAGTCTTTCCCACCAAGATACAAATACAAGTTATAACGAAAGCTATAAATACAGAAACCATGAATGGGGAACCTGACAAGCTTGATCTCCACAGTAATGCTGATGTGTCCACACTAGCTGCTGCAAACCCTTCACTAGACTTCCGGCGCCTGTGAAACAGCAAATAGTTAAAAGGCTTCTCTCAAGGTAAGCTTAATGCCAGTACAAATGTTAATGCCTAGAGAGCTAATACTACCAGTTTTTCACTGATTTACTAAATGGTTTAATGATAGATCGGTAAATTATTGGTTAATATTAGTTAATTACTGAATGATAATTGGTCTATCAGTGATAATCCACCAAGTTAATCAGCGGTAAACCACAAACAGTCCTAAACAAAACTTGGGTCATTTACTAAAAGAGGGCTTAACAACGATCATTTACTTTAAAACACCAATGTAAAATGCTTAATTTCAGATATGCCGTCACTACATACTTATGCATGGTTAAAGTACGTTAGCAAAAAAGTTGATGGTAAGTGGTAAAAAAACTCATCTCTAGATCAACCATAATGCTAGATAGTGTCTTCCCAGGATAAGGATGACCTTTTCTTCTTTCATAAATCGAGACTTGAAATTGTCACAGCAATATTATGCCAAAACATAAGGGGTCTCGTCCAGATATAACAGATTTCCACCATCATTTATTTTATTTTCTTGATTAATGATTTTTCAGTTTCTTATAAAAAAAATTTAAAATAAAATAAAACCCTTATCTTAAATGGAGCTTATAATTTTAGTACTTCCATTGACAGTAAGCATATAGATTAATTATTAAAGCAATGTGCCACAGATCTTTTAACAATACAATACACACACACACACACACACACACACATAGTTTTTGGCAAAATTAACTAACGCAATATAGAGTGCGAACTATAAAACAATGACGCTTTCAAAAAAAAAAAAATCACAAAGCACGGATTCTATCAATAATATTATCTTCTCGATCCCATTGATGAAAAATAGAAACCTATTCTCCGTAAATAACATGCCAGCATTACTTATTATTTAAAAGTAACAATGAAAATTTTTTGAAACATATCTTATGTGAAAGGGGAAAAAAAAATAAAAACAAAATATTCCAAGTGCTTGCAGAAGCAATACGTTTCCCATGCTACACTATTCAAATAACTGGATGAGGTCTCATCCATTTTTCTCTTATGAAAAATCAGGCCATCTTTTAAAATTTAATTAATCATTTAACAAAGTAGGTTAAGTCATAATCTAAAAATAAAATATCCCAAGTACTTAATGAAGCAATGCTTTCCGTGCTAGTCTACTGATATAACTGGATGAGGTATCATCCACATTTCTTATATGAAAAAATAACTTCTATCAAAACTAGCGTAAAATATTAACAAATCATTTAACAAAAAGTTAAAGAGTTTAACATTATGCCAATAAATGGTGACCCAAAATGCTTAATTAAGTATCCAAAGCTTCAAACCTTATAAGTAAGAATGCTCACAGTTTTTTTTTTTTTTTTCAAAAATACATTCATGCACGCTACTTGATTATGTGATAATGCAGAGTACACATGTATTATGTTGTAGTGTAGTTTTGGACAAAATCAATTACTGCGTGTGGATGTCTCAAATAAAAAACAATAATGGGGTGTCTTTTTCAGATTTGCTTAGAGGTTGGGACATCATTTTGCATTGAGTAGAGGGGTTTGTTTGTACTTGTAGGTGTCCCATTTTTAGGTTTTGCTGAGTTTTGTCCTTGTTTATTTGTTGTTGGACTTCTGGTTCTCCGTTGTATCCTCATTTTTCTGGTTAATTTTCAACAACAGATTCTCATTTCATATAAAAAAAAAAAAAAATGCAGAGTACACGCATAAAAACCCAGTGTAGATTTTTTTTTTTTTTGTCCCTTTTTTTCCCCCAGATGGAGGAAGGGGCAAAGCTCCCTTTTAGATCTCGTGATGGTTACATGGAATTACAACTTTCTCAAATAGAATCATTCCGCGCTTGTCCTTATAGTTGAATTTGGCATAAGTCCGGTGTTAGCAGATAAGATCTTTTGAGAGAGTTTGAATAAGTCAAATAGATTTTTAATTAGTTTGTTATTTTCCGATTATATAGATTAGGAGTTATCAGTTTGTAGTTTAAACTCAAATAAAGTAGATTAGTTGGTAGAAATCATTCTACTGAGAACCTAGGAGAAGATAATAGACTCGGTGGTCAAACCCTAGTCTATTTAAGTGTACTTTCATTCGATTAATAAAGGCAAGGCAGATTAATTCACATCTGCGTTCATCCCGCTTTGAAAGGCCAGGCAGAATTTTATGCATAATAAATGACTCTTAATTGGTTTCTCAGATTCCAAATGTCATTTGTAATTCTGATTTCTCATTTCCAAAATATCATCATCTTTGATTTTGATTTTGATTTTTACTTCAGCTATAAAAATTCAATTTTCTACCTTACTTTAAGGCCTGGGCAGATACGTAATGGAAATAAAAGATGAGCCAAAGAACTGTCATTAGAATATACCGCAAGAAGCCCTTTATTGAGTTCCGCAAAGATGCAGCACGTTTCATTCCCGGTTTTGAACGGAAGTTCTCTTTGCCTCCAACTTTGTGCTTCGCAAAGCCATCTTCAGGTATCCCTGGAACAGTGATAACATATTAAAAGATGAGATTCTTAAACCAGTTGATAAACCATGGGCATATAATCTTATTCCCCTGTAATTAGTTTAGAAATAATAGAAAACCGTGGTGCAAAGAAATTCTGAAACTATACCATTGCTTTCAGAAGAATTCAATTTCTTAAATGAAGCCAATTGCTCCAAGAGTACACGTTCTGAGTTGCTGCAGAAAGAAAAAGGGTTCTCAAGCACTCATCAAAATTCGAGCATCAGTAAAGGTTCTTGAACCTTTTGATGCTAGCATAAACTTAGAAAACATAATAAACATGAAATAAGCAATAAAAGTATTTTGTAGTTTAAGGGGTTGGACCTTATTTCTTTTGGGATCAAAACATTTACAACAAAGTGATGATCTCCTCGAACAGAAGGTTTATTGATGTCTGGAACTCCCATGCGTGGCAACTTTACTGTTTCTCCAGGCTGCGTCCCTGAAGGAATTTGGAGATCTCTCATTCCCTCGACAGTTTCTACCTGAAGTTGAAACTTGTTTCCCATCAAACTTGTACGCTATTGCTTAAGTCACAGAAATACTAACGTCAATTTTCCAATGAGAAATATTACAGACATGAATTCAGAACTCATATTTTAAAAGGGTGAAATTTTTTCGTCCAAAATAAGGGGGAAGATTTGGAATGGCCGTTTGTTGGCCACCTTTTTCAATAAATGGCCGAAGTTTTTAAATTTTAGCCAAATAGCTGAACTTTTTATACTTTAGAAAAATGACCATTTTTTGCAGTAGTTAATAAGCGATAAACCAAGGAAATCATGTGGCCAATCAGTAATAAAACATTGTTAATCAGCAATAAACAAAAACTAATTAATGATAAACCATAATTAATCAGTGATAAACTAAAAATAAAAAAAGGTCATTTTTTCTAATTTTATAAAACTTCAGCCATTTACTAAAAGAATCTAAAAAAGGGTCATTTACCCCCAAATACCAAAAAAAAAAAAAAAAAAAAAAAAAAAAAAAAAAAAAAAAAATACCAAACGATTATGAAGAACGTAAAGCATTAAGAAATTAAAAATCACTCATGAAATGCATAAAAAAGATAAATATAAGAAAATCACATACTAAAGTATGGCCATCTAGGTTGTTATTGATATTGTTATTATTTTGCTAAAAATCTTAAAGCTACGGCTTTGACAACGCTCGATATTCAACCATGGTTATAAAATTTGCAACTTCTTTTTACCCTTCTTTCAAGGTTAAGATCACAATTTACTAATGTTGCATGCTTTGATAATTCCAATTTAGATTTGGGTTAAGATGACAAGCTCGAACGATGGATAAGATCGACTGTTGCCCAGAACATGCTGAGGTCGAAATTCTATACCTTCTCTAACCCCAAAATACTAGTTTATATCTAGCACAATAGTTCTTATTATAGTTAGCGAAACATGCGGGATTAAATACACGGGAAGTGTCATCAGTAGTGTAAGAAAATTGTAAGCACCAATCAAGCGTGCATATTTAAAACCAAGAGTCCTTAAAGAACAAACAAGCTGAATTAAACTGTTGAGTCAAGAACCATTGTCAAGCAAAACAGGAAACGGTACATGTTTTAATTTGGAAGACGTAAATAGTTTTAGAAGATTCCCTATTCCTAATAGAATATTAAAAAGACAAAGTTACCTTCATAGTGGTCCCTAATATCGCCTCAGTATAATCTACACTGATCTTTGAGTACAGATTGAGGCCATCCCTTTGAATTCCATGCTTTTCATCTATATGGAGCACTATATAGAGATCACCGACAATGCCCCTGCAAAGATATAAACAAAAAGGTGAAGAAAATACATAATACAGTAAAAGACAAAAAATCCAAAAATAGGAAATTTAAACATGTAACAAACCACAAGCTACAAACTTGAATGTTAAATATTCTGTAATGAAACGTTAAAAAATCTGTTTTTTTTTTTTTTTTAATTGTGGAAAACATGAAAAATCTTATTGATTCAGAAAAGAATACAAACCTAAACTAAATGTACACACTAGGAGAAAACAGATAAGGAATCCACTCTAATTTGATTTCCTATGATTTAGGAAACTTAAGTATCCAAAATATTCGAAGTCCTAGCTATACAATTTACAATAATACATGGTTTCCTTATATGAAATAAAATAACAGTAAGAAATCTAGTAATAACAAACATTTCATTTGAGCGCACACCTTTTATTATCAATGTTACCATCACCCTGAATACGCATTGTGGCTCCATCACTAACACCAGCAGGGATGATCACATTCATTGTCTGCTTAGACTGCACTTGACCACTGCCTCCACATTTTTGACAATAATCAGTGATTACCTTGCCATCTCCACCACACTTTCCACAGGTAGAAACCTAAGTATCATCAAACGTTATGCAGCATATGTGAAAGACAGTCAAATCCTAAAGAAACATAAGAACGAAGAAAATACGCGCTGATTATGCTGCATCTCAACCACACTTTGCACAAGTCGAAACCTAATCATCATCAACTGCTATGCAACATTGAACACAACTAGTCAAAGGCTAAAAAACGCATAAACAAGGCCCACAAGTGACACATTGCTGATCAACAACCTCCGAACAAATAAGTAAAACTGGTAAATTTTTATCACGCTAGATTCTTGAACAAATAAAGCCGTTTGGTGGTGAAAGCCATGGTCTCGACTGGCTCAAGAAGACAGGTGACTCAAGTGAGAGTCATGTTTCTTGATAATCAGAACTGTAACATTTATGGGTCTTTCCTGTTGATGCTTGCAACCTTTTTTTTCTCAATTTTGTTTACTCGCAAACTACTTCGTGCTAGTGAATTGATGAGGAGGCCATTATCAGTTCATGTCATATTAGTTTAATGTTTGGAACAAATAAAGCAGCTATGGATGTTGAAATATTCATGCTACATATATATTAGCTTCAGCACAATCCAGAAATAGTATTCAATCAGCACAATCATAAATATGCTGACAATTAAGATGTTAACATGGAACAGTAAGATAATTACAAAAGTTATCCTGTCATGGCAAGCAACATATTTAATATTTGGCTGCCAATATTCAACAGTAGATAATAATGGAACAAACTCAAAGGTTAAACAAAAAAAAAATGTGGTTGCTTACCTAACGGTACTTCCACACCAGCTCTACCATAAAGTGTAGAGTAAAAAAACCCCCCACCCCAAGTCCCAATGAACAGGGAAATTACGGGTGACTGAAGCCAAATAAGGAAAAAGGAAATGTTATTACAGGAATAAATTTTGAAACTGTCTGACACATGATCTACTGGGCCGTACTATAACTACATTTGCTAATTTGTTTAGCTGTTTACACACTGCTAAATGTTTTTTCATGCGGTTTATTGATGATAGGCCACTTGCAAATATCCGAGATACAATCCTCACCATTAGAGATATTTTGATAAAAGGAGAAAAAAAAGAGAGAGATGTAGGGAGAGGACAAGGAATCAACCAAAAAATGATAATGATTCTCATGATTAAACTTAAGTTTTAAAACTTATTCTACAAGCACCAGATAGAATTGAATTGGGTTGAAATTCTATGCTTTCTCCCTAGTACAGTCTAATATGATATTGGGTTAAATGCAAGTGCATTTACTTACAAATTTGTTCCAGTTAAGGTGAAAATTGAAATATTGCCTTTCATCCTTCCAAACACTAAAATGAGAGTTGGGAATGGGATTAAAATCTTGTTTTGGAAAGACAGATGGTGTGAGAATGAATCTTTGCAAGTTTTATTTCCCCGTCTTTTTAGAATCTCGGATCTTCCTAATGCTTCGGTAGCACAAGTTTGCTTACTATCCAATAATGGTGATCCCAATTGGAATCTTGGTTTTAGAAGAGGTCTTGACGATAGAGAAACAGAGGATTTGACTTCTTTACTTCAATTAATCAACTCCCATCCTATTCAGCCTACTAATTCTGATCAGAGAGTTTGGTTGTGTGATTCTAAGGGTTTCTCGTGTCGGTCTTTCTTTGCTGCTCTAGTAAACAGGCCTGATATTTCGAATTTTGAATCCTTCAAATTCATTTGGAAGTCTAGTGTCCGCCATAGAATTAAAGTTTTTGCTTGGTTGGTTGTGTTTGGGAAATTAAATACTTGTGACTTGGTGCAGAAGCGAAACCCCCATGTGGCTCTATCCCCTTCTTGGTGTGTTCTCTGCAGGGCAAGCGATGAATCCATTGATCACTTATTGTTGCATTGTCCATTGGCTAGATCGGTCTGGGAGAAATTGATATTAGAAGTTGGAGTCTCCTGGGTGTTCCTGGCTCACTGTAGCTCGGTTTTGAAGGAGGAGTTGTCAGGCGTGTCACTAAATAAAATAGCTAGGGTGCTATAAAAATGCATGGTGTTGTCGGTTATTTGGACTTTATGGTCGGAAAGGAATGCTAGGATCTTTGAAGAAAGGGAGATGGATATCAATGATCTTTACGAGAAAGAAAAGTTCACAGCATCCCTTTGGGCATCTTCTGACATAGCCTTTTAAGGGTTTTCCTCTTACTTTGCTTGTTTTGAATTGGAAAGATGTGATTGGCTTCTAATTTGGAATCATGCTTGGTTTTAACTATGTTTTTGTTTCTCTAGTGTCCTAGGAAGAGGATACCTTATCCTCTTTTCTCTTGTATTCTATATATTTGATTTTATCAATAAATTCTTTTTTCTTATCACAAAAAAAAAAAAAGTATCCACGTGTCTGATCAGTTAGTAACATAATTGGATCTGTTAAGTTGGCCATGTCATTCCCAGAAATATAAAATAATTTAATGAAGACTTTAACGTTCTAAACATGTATAATTACCTGTGACATCACTCCAAAAGGTGTCTTCTGTGCTTTCATGACTCCTCCCATTCCTCCACAACTACTACAAGGTTTTAGGCAGCTACTGGATTTAGCCCCCGTTCCATCACAACTATCACATGAATTGAAGCAAGAAAATTCAATTTCCCTCTGGCCTCCGAAAACAGATTCTTCAAAGCTCAAATGCAGGTCATACCTGAGATTGGAAAATAGGAATTTCATATATTAAAAAAATGAAACTTTAAATGATTAAACAGAAAAGAATTCAAGTACTACATAACGCAAAGATTTCCAAACAAAATTATGAACTCTTCCATGTTGATGCTATCAAAAGTGTAAAATTAGCAAAAACTTATAAATGATCAATGATACCATCATATACCACTCACTACTAAATGAGTCACTAAAATGACCATTAAGGGTTGTTTTACACTTTCAGGAACATGTCATTTTTCTGCAATATATTATTCAAGTACTCCACACACATTCAAAACACATGATAGTAAGATTGAAAAAAATTAAATACCAAAATGCAGTGAAATGGGGCAATTTACTGGTAGAACTCAGATTTGAACATGGGCAATAGAATGAAAACCGAATCTTTATTAAGAAAGAATGTTCTGCGCAATCTCAATTGAACCTCACAAGCCTAACAATGGTGGTGGGTGTTTCGAGAGCTCCATCTCTCTCCCTCTTGGATTCTCCAAGAAAAATCAACACCTGAAAATTCTTCTTCTGTCCAACCAATTCCGTAACCAACTCCTTATAACAGCACTTGCTGACTTATTAACAAACACACGAATATCACCTACTCGCACACTTTCACGGACAAACACTTATTAACTGAACTAATAACTAACACACATTATTGAAAGTCACTGCCCACAACTTACAGCTCAACCCTTCTGTTCTTATTCTTCCTGCATAGTGGAAATGAACCAGAGGCTTATCATTTACTGCAACAACTTGAACAATCTGAAACTGCTCTTTTTCTTTTTTTGCTTTTTCTTCATTTTTACAACAGACGAATAATAAATTATGCAAACTGTACTCCCTATCAGGCATCACCTTGACTCTACACAAAGTATAGAAAGAGATGCATATTTGTAACATAATAGGACTAACAAAAAAACTAACACATTTGAAGGATATGGTGATGACAGACCTTATTTAGTGTACTTGTCCTTGAAACGTTATAACAAACTTTGTTTAAATTAATATTAAACAGGTTGTTTCAATTTTCAAGGAAAAGAAAGGAAGAGAACATTCTCATTAGAATCACTGTCTTTTTTTTTTTTTTTTGGAAAAGAAACGAAAAGATTTATTAATGATGAGAGAAAGGGAGACTGGAAGCAGGGAGAAAGAGAGAACCTCCACCACCAAACCAGGATCCAACAAACAGAACAATCAAAACAAAAACAAACCAGAGTCCAACTCATTCGAATCACTGTCATGACCATAGAGCAAGATAGTTACCGAACGTCAAGACCCTGGTTCCTCTTGTTTCTCAAATCGAAATTGATGCCACCCTGTTCACCCAAGCCTCCAAAAAACCCATATGATCCTCCAAAAAACCTCTCGAAAACTTCGAAAGGATCCACCTAGAGAATTATAACCATAAATTAGAGAGTACTTGAAAATACCAGGTCCACTGACAGCAAAAGAATAGATTTCAAAACAAAAAAAGGACAAAGATGGGAAGATCAAACAAAAGTGTGTCATTGTATTCATTGCCAAAAGGATCAGAAAAGATGGTCAGTTATCTGGCGTAGTGGAAAGTAGTACAGTTATGATCTTACCGTTGTTGAACCACCATCAGAGCTTGCAAATTCTCCTTCTAAACCTGCCTCACCAAAGCGATCATATAAAGTTCTTTTCTCATCATCTGATAGCACCTACATAACTACTTGATTACCACATGAATGAAGAAGGAAGAACAAAAGATTAAGCAAATGCACATTTATCACTATCTCTATATAAAGTAGCTGTGAAATCAATTCAACGTTAAACCCAAACATCTCCTAAATAAATGATATTGGAATGTCGGAACATACCGGTGAGTAAATTATTCAGGAACCTACCTACCAAATAAATGGGAAAACAGAAATAAGGAAAAAAAAAAATTACCTCATATGCAGCGCTTATCTCTTTGAACTTCTCTTCTGCCCCAGGGCTCTTGCTCATATCCGGATGGTACTAAAAAGACCCACCCAAGTACACAATCATCAAACTTTCAGAAACTTTTAAGTCAAACTTGAACAAACACAAATGAACTCCAGAGTGTTGTTTGTTTCGTGGGTTTGAACCATAATTCAAACTTTTTTGCTACAGTGTTCTCTCTCGCAATATTTTGAATTTTTGTTCAAACCTATGAACCAAACAAGCACTAAGACAATTACAAGTCATCATATAGCAGTCTTTGTGATGGGGACCAAGAAAGAAGAGATAGAATCTAGATAAAAGAATAGAACAAAAATAGAGAAATAGAACTGCTAGAGAGAGAGAGAGATAGAAAACAGAATATTATAGAGAGGCCAAGAACTAAAGATGAGGAAAATCAACAATCTCAATATTCATTCACCAATCATTTTCTCTAAATTGAATTTAGAGATGGAAAACAAAATTAAAAAAAAAAAGAACAACTAAAAAAAATAAAATAAAATAAGGAAACTTGATAATAGGAACCTAACCTAACAACAAAAATCTCTAATTAAATAAAAACTAAATAATTACTCCATCACACATAAATTTAGGAAAAACATAATTCCTTGAACAAGACCTGAGTAATGCTTGCAAACGCTTATGAAATTTCTCATCATAACAATCAGGAACTTTTATTCAACAAAATTTCCAACATTCTCGATGACATCTAGGATTAAAGTCCACTTAAAACTAAAGACAATATCAACAATTTTCGTTTTCCGCGGGCAGAATCCAGCGATTAAAGAAACATTTCAACATTTTCTTTATTCTTGTCCTTGATTTTCCCGTGAAACAATCAAAAAGCATTAAAGCCGAACCTGACGTGCGAGCTTCCGATAGGAGCTCTTAATCTCCTGCAATGTGGCGTTCTTCGCGACCTTGAGAGTGGAGTAAAAATCCGTTGCCTTGGCTCTGATCGCAAGAGAAGATGGTGGGCGGAGGAAGCGATGAAAATTAGGGTTTGGGATTCGGTGATTGCCGGAGAAGAATCTGGAAGCGGCGGAGCAGAAGGTGAAGCTGGTAATGACGGGGGAGGAAGAGGCACTGGAGGGAGAAGAGGAATTGAGTCGAATTGCAGAGTTGTGGATTGGAGAGATGTGAAGGTGAAGCTGGTAATGACGGGGGAGGAAGAGGCATTGCAGGGAGAAGAGGAATTGAGTCGAATTGCAGAGTTGTGGATTGGAGAGATGAAGGTGGGCTTGCCGTAGCAGCGAGGATTGGGATGGTGAGAGATATACATGGTTATGAAAAGAGAGAAGTAAGGAGGGTTGCAGACTTACTAGTCTTCACTCTTGCAGGGTTCTTCAGGATTTGTGGGTCCCACGGTTCGGGCCTGTTCTGGTCTGGTCCCGTACATGAAATTCGTTGGGCACGTGTGGAGTGAAATGTTGAGCGGGTTTAGTACCGTTTTCAAAATAATTTTATTTTTAATATAAAAATAAAAATGAGATTATTTTGAATAAAATTATGTTTAGTTATTTTTTAAGAGATTATTTTAAATATAATAAAAAAATAAAATTGTGTTTTGTTATAATTATTAATTAATATATTTTAATATCATTGATAAGTACTAAAAAATAAAAATAGAAAAGAAAAAATAACTTTTAATTATCTTTTAATACCTTCACAAAAATTATTTTCATTGTTTTTTATTTTCATTTTTATTTTCAAAATATTTACTAAACAAACACAATTTGCAGACTATTTTTATTTTCGTGCCTTAAAAGACGTACAAAAATATTTTCAAAAATAAGCAAAAATCAATTCTAAACTCACCCGTTCTTTTTCTTTCTTTCTTTCTTTTGTTGGTTAAAAAACAAGTTTTTAGCACAATTGCCTCCGAACGTATCGTAGTTTAGCAAATTGTCTCTTAAATTTTCGATTTTGACAATTAACCTTTCGAATTTGTAAAATTATTATAATGTGCATCATTTTATTAAATTTGTTCAAATTTTTTATTTAATTTAAGAGATTAAAAGTTGAAAAATTGATTTAATAAAAAAATTACTAATGGCATCTTGCCTTCATCTCTACAATCATTTTCAAGGGCCCAATTCTAGTAGCAGAATAGTAATTTTCATTTGCACCAGCATGGGATGCTGCACAGCCTATTATCAAACAAATCATTAATTGAGGCTATCTAGTATCGAACCAGTTGAATACAAGTGTCAATCTTTGCAGAAAAATTAGTTAACCTATCATCACCAAAGTTATAAGACTTGGCAATCTATAACTATTGTTTTTGTCAAGATTTGAAACTTGTTATCGCTCGAGAAATTCTCCTACAAATGATTTTGCTAAAAACTTGAAAGTTAGGAGATGTATGAACAATCGATGAATACTTGACACAAGATTAAGAGTGTTTTTGTTATCTGTAAGGTATGATTTTCACACAAGTATTAGTGTTACAATATTTTTAGCAACACCTGTAATTAATGGTCAAGTTATGCAGTGATCAAATGATAGTAAATGAAAACGTACGGGAATCAAAAATAATACAGGAGAAAATTAAAGAATACCAAAAAATGATATCGCAGTTTAGTGCGCACACCTATATCTGCGGGGCCACGCCCAGACAGTGAACAATCAACTAAGTTCAACAAATTACAATCACCAATCGGTCTTACACACTCATTTGGTCTCGTTCACTTCGCAGATTCAAGTTTTCAATTCGAGCTTAGATGTGACATTTTTTAGAGCTCTTCACTGTAGCAGAAAAAGTTAGATGTGACATTTTTTTAGAGCTTTTTACTGTAGAAACCTAGAACTGAAAACTCAAATTGGTGAAATGAACGAGGCCAAAGACTCCCTCCTTAATGTCGTCGCCGCTGTGTAGAATCCTCTTAGTATCTTGTCTAGCTAGTGCCACTCGACTTCGAAAAACTTTCTCCCGAAAGCCAAATTCTTCAATTACAAATTAAGAATCTTTAAGAATCACATGTTTTTCCTGCAGATTATATTCTCCCTCAACCACACACGACCATCACCTCCTCTCCAGCAACCCACACTCCTCAAATAATCAAAAAATCAATCAATCCATACTTGCCCCATTTTTTCTTCCAAAGGAACAGCCTTCCCAAAAATACTTTCCATAGACAGAGCCAATCAAATAACCAAAGTCAACCTCCTGAAATTACATTCACAAAAAACTTGTCTTTTTCTATATAAAGAATCAACCCAAGAGATGTCAAACATTCCAAATTTAGTGCAAAAATACAGAGATAGAATCTTCATAACTGTTACAATCTTTTGTCAAAAATTGTCAACTAACAAAAGTCCTAACTTTATCAACGCTCAATCAATGATGGTTAAATACAATGTAGTCTTAAGAATATTATAAACTTTAGAGTCAAGTTGGGAGCTCTAACGATGATCGTCGACCATTTTGGAACCTCAAAACCACTTTAAAATGGAAAGAAAAAAAAAGAATCGATAAGTGTTTTCTTATGCCTCATTCATTTCACTAATTTGAGTTTACAATTTCAGTGTTGCTATAGTTAAAAGCTGTTATAAAAAGTCATATTTGACTTTTTCTACTACAGTAAAAAATTATAACATAAAATCACATCTCAACTCGAATATACAAACTGAAGCAGCTCTTAGAAATCAATTCCCATTTGAACAATACCGAAAGGCTAGTTCTCTAGGTCGAGCATGTTGGTTCTCTCAGTTCGTCACTTCAGACCTCGTGGATAGGCACACAAGACAAAGGCAGATTTGCTTCTTTTTCCATTTTTACAATAAAGCACATTTTTTATTTTGAAACCAATTTATGATCAATGCGTGTAAGTGTCAAATAACTATTCAAACTTGAAAAAATACTTGTACAAAGATTAATCCAATTTATACACATGTTTTCCGACTACAGAAAAAACATTCAAAATGATTTTAATGCAACTTTGATTAAAAAAAAATGTATTATTTTTAGAGTGTGTGCGCTTTTAATTATTATTTTGAGACAATCATGAGTGATTGAACACATAATTACAATAATAGAAAACGAAAGTTCAACCAATGTAACTAAAATCTTTGTGCATTTCTTTTCAAGCACCAATTTTTTATCCAATGCTTGAATTGCTACATTCTTCGTACAATTTAAGCTTAAATAAACTCAAGATAAATGTCAGTAACTATAAATCAAATTGTTTGTAGTCATCAAAATAAGTAATATTGAAACCTTAGAGCCAAAAACTTTTACCAACTAGTAAACAAGTATTAAAATTGTAGCTTGTGATAAGTTTGAGAGCAGGTTTGTACCACTTTATGTTATTGGGTCAAAGTAAAGCAACCTCCATTTTTCAGAGTCAAATTTAAAATTAACCCCAATTTCTAACTTCTTGGCAAATTGGCTGTCAAATTATGCCACTAATATGTTGTGAAAATTTACATGAAATTTACTAGAATGATTACTAAAAAAGTGAAATTGATAAAATGACATTTTTCATTTATACAAAGAATGACCAACTAATTATTCTTTATAAATAGTAGTTGTTCTTATTTTCTCATCGCTCTTTGTAATCATTTTGTAGATAAAAATTTATAAAATATTATTTTAATAAAACATTCATATTAAGACATTTAACAATACATAAAAAAGTCAAAAAAAATTTTTATAGAACTACCACGTGATAGTCTCTCTACTTATATTTTATATTTTTTTTACTTTTTAATTTTTTATGTGTTCTTTAAAAAATATTATTTTGCATGTATTTTTATTTAAATAAATTTGAAAATAAATGATTCTATAAATGAATTTATAGATATTTTGTCTCGGCAACGAGTGCGAAGCAAATTACAAAACTAGTTGATAAAAATGGCTCATTTACATATGAAGTACTTCAAAGGTCTTCTTCCTTGTTGTTCCCCATCAGAGAACTGTCTTTTTCAACCCATCTGCACATGAATCCACAGAAGCTATTCTTTCTCTTGGCCAAACACCCATCAAACCGCCGTGTAGCCCAACAAGTCCACTCTCACATTCTCACATCAGGCTTAATACTTCAACGACACGCGATCCTCTTCAACGCTTTACTCCGCTGCTATTCCCATGGCGACTTTCCTCACCAAGCTTTCTCTCTCTACAAACATTTCCTTTATTCTCCTCCTCCCTTTGACAGCTTCACCTACTCTTTTCTTCTTCACGCGTGTTCCAACTTGGAATCTGTTATCCCGGGTTATCAACTCCATGCTATTTCTTTCAAAGTGGGTTTCCATTTCCATGTCTACGTTCAGACTGCTTTGGCAAATATGTACGTTTCATGCGGGCTCTTACGTGAAGCCCACCAGGTGTTCGATGAAATGCCTGAGAGGAATTTTGTGACTTGGAATGTGATGATCACGGGTTTGGCGAAATGGGGCAAGTTTGAATCCGCTATTTCGCTGTTTGATCGAATGCCGACACGGACTGTTGTGTCATGGACTGCGATTATCGATGCATACACGAGAATGAATCAGCATGAGGAAGCAGTGGCTGTGTTTAGAAGAATGGCTTCCCATGATGGTATTCAACCTACTGAAATAACATTCCTGGCAATAATCCCGGCTGCTTCAAATCTCGGGGCTCTTGATGTTTGTCAATCCATTCATGCTTACGTTGAGAAGAGAGGATTTAGAGCGTCCGATATACGCATAACAAATTCTCTCCTGGATTCATATTCCAAATGCGGGTGCATAGCAAGTGCATACAGATTCTTCGAGGAGATATCCTTGGAACGGAAAAATTTGATCTCGTGGTCCTCTATCATATCCGGGTTTGCAATGCATGGAATGGGAAAAGAAGCAGTTGAGAATTTTGAGAAGATGGAGGAAAGTGGGTTGAAGCCAAATCGAGTGACGCTCCTAAGCGTTTTAAACGGTTGCAGTCACGGAGGGTTGGTTGAGGAGGGGCTCAAGTTCTTTGAGAAGATGGTCAATGAGTATGAAATCGCACCAGATATCAAGCATTATGGGTGTTTAATTGACATGCTAGGGAGGACAGGGAGATTAGAAGAAGCGGAAAAGATAGCTTCGGGGATTCCTAGTGAGATTGCTAATGTTGTGATTTGGAGGACACTCTTAGGGGCTTGTAGCTTTCATGACAATGTTGAGATGGGTGAGAGAGTGACAAGGAAAATATTGGATATGGAAAGAGGGTATGGAGGGGACTACGTGCTTATGTCCAACATCTTTGCTAGTGTTGGAAGGTACGATGATTCTGAGAAGGTGAGGAGATTGTTAGATGAGAGAAAAGCCTTCAAACTTCCAGGGCATAGTTTTGTATAATGGATATAACAGGTCGTTATTCGAGTTCCTCCTCAAAACCCAATAGATTGAGGCCTGGTATTATTAGGGAGACACCACATGCAAAACTGACTTAACACACTTCGTAAGTTCTACTTGACCCAAACGGTTAACCTATTGGGTCTAGGGTTCTTTTATGTATATAAACCACTTACAACACTAACTGTGGGAACACTAACCGAGTGTGATCGCTTGGCTCATACGAACCATCGGCTCTGATATCACTTGTTGGGGAGACACTACATACGAAATTGGCTCAACACACTTTATGAGTCCAACTTGACCCAAAATGTTAATCTATTAGGTCTATGGTTCTTTCGTGTATATAAATCACTTTACATTCTCATCTATTTTTCATACAGAATAACATACACATGCACTTTTCTCAACATATATTTTATCCTTGAATTGTACAGTTTCTATTGAGAACAATTCACTGAAATTTTAGAGGCAGTGCCCATCATTTAAGTTTGGCATCTTTAGCCAAAAAACAATAATAAAATAAAATAACAGTAATCAAAGCTTTGCATTGTTTCATAAATTTGTCGTTTCCAATGTGAAACGCCTTCATTGTTAAAACAAAAAAAAAAAATGGAAACAAAACAAGTTTTGGTTCTTGACGTCATTGAAATTGTTTTCAATGAAGGATCCGATATGCTGAATTGCAATTTTAATTGATCAGTTTACAGAGGTGCTGTTTTAATCTTTCTTTTCTACTATTCTTTACAACGTCTTCAACAAAATTAATACTTTTGATGAAAAACAAAACAAAGTGGACAAATAAATCATAGAGAACCAACAATAATCATATTTAGTACGATGCACGATGTACCAGAATCAGTTTCCATTTGGTTGAACAAAACCTACATAGTCGAAGCAAGTTTGATCGAGTAGACCAAGTCCAAGGCCTCCAAATCAGACTTTTTTAAGAGAGATTGATATTTGATAACTGGTGTATAGTCCATATACATTGAGCAGTCGATTCAAATAAAATTATTCTTGTCTTATTTATTTTATTGATTTAAATTTTTAGTTTTAAATTTTTACAGTAAAAAATTCTAAGAAAATGTCACATCTAACTTTTTCTGCTACAGTTAAAAACTCTCAGAAAATGTCACATCTCAACTCGAATTAAAAATTTAAATCCGCGAAATGAACAAAGCCTCTTTGTTTCCTTATCGCACGGTCCAAGTTGGTCAACATTCCATTCAAATAAATTGCTTTGTTCTTCACTATGATGCGGTAAGTTCCAACATCCTTCAGTGCTTCTCATTGTCATCAAAAAGGTGGAGGAGTTTAGTCACAATAAAAACTCAAGACAGATTCTTCTCTCCTAACTAAAATGTTTCCGGAGGAAAGGAACATCATCGATAATAAGAACACTTCAAAATCAAATTGATTATCAGAACATTTTCCTAGCAAAGTCAAGCAAAATCAATCCTGCTAAAAGGTTAAGTCCTACGGGTGCGTTTGATAGCAATGGTACTATACAATCATATCCTCAGGACTTGCGCCGCTTGATTACTCCTTGGAGCTGATCCATTAGAAGATGAGCTACCGATTTGTATCCCAGCTCTTGAGCTGATTCCAATCGCCATGTAAAGAGTAGTGTTAGTGTTTAGATACAACATGAAACTCCGACGAGACGATGATCAAAATAGAGTATACAGACAAACCTCTATATATTGCTAACCCAGTTGGAGCCATGTTTCTCTTCTTTAGGCAAATCGAACTAACATAATAACAGAGGAGAAGAAGACGACAGAAATACAATCCTCAGTGAGTTTGCGAACTTACTCTCACAAAAAGGATAAAAGACTCGAAAATGCATTTACTATTTCTCATACCTGTTACATATCCAGTAAGATTTTATCCCTTTCTCTTCTATGCAATGAGGGCACATCCACTCTTTATTCCTTATCACCTCCTCCATCTCTATCAACGCATATTAAAAAAAAAAAAAAAAACAAAATATATAAATATAAAAAAAAAACACCCGCCTTCTTCAAATGAGTAAGTAGTTGTTCTGCAATATTCTACGAGTTCATAAATTAAACTCTTTTAACAAGAATCGGCTGAATTGACAAATGCTGGTCGTTCATTTGGATTGAAAAAAATTGCAGTACAAGTGTGCCTAATCAATTCATCTTTCTGACCGCACATTGTTCATTTGGTTTCATATGGACTTTACCTTCACCATATCTAACCTTCAGACAACCTCGACAAAAAACGCCATGGCTAGAATGACAAACTGAACAATCCGTCTTTCCTGAATAAAAGAAGTCCACACAAACATCAGAACATCTAAAGATTTAGCGTCCCAAAATTAATTATGAAAAACTAAAAAACTTCAATAAGAGGACTCACTAACCAATGCACGGTTCATCCATATCAAGATTACTACATCTCTTGCAATCTTCTTCGCCGCACAGTTTTTTCTGCCTGCAGGTTTAGAGGGATTAAAATACTAAACCGAAGACACCCACTACTTCTTAAGGCAAAGAAACTATTTGACAGTCGATATGCAAAGTAGTTCTCGAAACAATAATAAATTGAGAGCGCGCAAGTTTTGGATGTAAATGCAGATGAATTTTAGACATGTTTCAGCAGAGCTTACCAACAAAAAGAGTCACTTTGGCGAAGCTTTTGGCGCTTAATGGTGATTAGAAAAACAAGGTTTTTGGGGAAAAAAATGAAAAAGGAAAGTGATTTAATGTACAAGGACCAACTAAACCCAAAATGAAAATACTAAAAGCTTGCTAGAAAGATCAGAGGAGACATCTTTAGCATAAATAAACTTTGCATCAAAGAGAAAACTATAAAAGATGATATAATTTGTACTCCACATTCTTGTTACTGATTCCCTTGAACTCGTCTAATCCAAATCTAAAAAGAAAAAAAAAATCATTGAACCGAACACAATGAAGGTAATTTTATCAGCTTTACAACATAAAGATGCCAAAAGGTCAAAAACACAAAAACCTGCAGAAATGGCAGCAAATTCCAAACAGAGGGTCATAGACACCGCCTCTGCCCCTGCTACTGCACCGTAGTGTCAACGCCTCGGGCGATAGTTGAACATCTTTCGAACCTTTTACCACGACCAAAGGCATATTTGCAGGCCTAGGAGAATCATCTTCATGGTCTTCAACAACACGCTTCTTCCCTAAAATGGTAAAACAGAAAACATATAAATTTCCTTTCTTCCATTGCTTCCTTTCCTCTCTCATGAAGAAAGTAAAGCAAAAATGAGAAACCTGTAATGGGATGGCATGGTTTTCCATTCCCTCTCAAACGACTAGAGCGTCGTAAGGAAGTTCTCTTGGGAGTTATTGTTAGAGAGGATATTTGCTTCAACCGGTTTGATCGCCGCAAAGACCCGGTTTCGTATACCTTTTTGGTGTAGTTTCTAACTTGGGTTTTCGGTGGACTTGAAGATGAAACAACGGAACGAAGGTCTGATATTGTTTTTTGCAGTCCAAGTGTTTTCAAGCGATTCTGCAAAAACCCAAATAAGTTTTAAGTTTAAAACGAGCAATTTTTAATTTTTTAAGTGAAACGAGAAGATTATATGAAGTTAGAAAGAGAAACCTGATTTTCCAAGATTCGAGCATTTCTGAGATCCTCGTAGTCGCTCTTTGCTCGAAGCCTTCCCATTGTTGGTCTTCAATTCGAAAAGGTTATGGGGGCCAAGGAAGAAGAGGTTTAAGAGGCTTGTGACCGCTGGGAAATTTTGAATTTTGAATTTTTTTTTTTTTGAGAAAGGAAATTTTGAAGTTTAATTAATTGTTGAAAAAGGAAATTTTAAAGACCGTGTTTGGCTATTTATCTTAAGATGGAGGAGGTTGTTTATTAGTGAAACAACCAATTATTCACAAAACTGTTCTTAAAATATATAAGATTGCTTACATAAATTTTTCTTCAATAATGATCTTTATAACACTTTATCTCTAAATCTTCAAAATGTAATGCGTATATTCTCTATAGTATGAATCATTAACAAAAAAATCTATAAATCATTAAAAAAAACCATTCAGTTAAGGTTTCTAGTAGAAATGACACATGTCACACAAATATTGATTATTCTTAAAAAATTTTGTGCAAAATTATTCTTCTAAATCACCATTAAATTTACATTTTTTGAAAACATCTTCCAATCTCCATTTGATATGATAATAAATAAAAAAATAGTAAAACAATTTTTAATCTTATACTTCTTTTAATTAATTGAAACTTTTTTAGCCAAAAAAAATTAAAACTAATGGTTTTTAGATTCATAAGATATTTTTTTAACGTAGTTCAAAATAGGGCTGGCAATTTCTGACACGACACGATGAAACGACACGCGATAAATGGATTTAGACCACACGATTATTAATTGAGCCGTTAACGGACTGACACGAATAACACGAAAATAAACAGATTGGATTCGTGTCAACCCGTTTAACACGTTTAACCCGTTTAATTATACGTGCCATTATCATGCCGACACGGCCCGACCCAGCACGACCCGTTTATTAAGGTCATATATATATATATTTTTAAGAGAAAACCCTAAGTTCTCTCTCTCATTCTCTCACACCCGCCTCACTCCTCACGACTGCCTCAGTCCTCTTCCGCCTCAGTCCTCACCCGCCGTTTCCATCTCCATCGATCTGGAAAAGATTGAGATTGAAAAGCCTTTCTGAACAAACGACCCATCTCCATCTTCATCTCCATCTCCATCTCCATTGCAGTTTCAGCCTTTCTGGATTTTGATTTTGGGGGGCGGACGGGACCGTTTCAGCTTTCCTCAATATCAACGACCCACTCCATCTCCATCTCCATGTACGTACTCCTCCTTGTTCTTCGCATTCAATTTCTTCTTTTAACTTGTTGCGTCTATTTGATTTTAACTAATCTGTATTTTCTCCTCCTTCTTCGCATTCAATTTCTCCATCTCCATGTACATAATCTGCATTTTCCCAAAGCCTTGATTCAATTCATTTGGCGATTCCATGACGTAATAATAGATATCATAAGGAAGGCAACAACAAACTACGAGATTCTGGCCATTTAAATTCAGAAAAGGCTTATTGAAACCAGAATCGAGTCGGAGCAAACCCAAAGAAATCTAAGGATGCTCAACACAGGTATGACCAAGTTGGATAACTTGCTTTCACAACAAAACGTTAGTAGTGATAATTAGGGCTCGGCTACAATGGTCAAGAAACCTTAGAAAAGATCATTTTTGTGAAGGCAACCACCAGCTCTCTAGCATAGCATTCTCAAACGTCACAGGTAAAACAAGTTAAGCAATTTGTTGCAAAATTTGTGTCAACAAAAAGAGCAACAAATAGATTTGTTCCACTTTGTCATATTATAATGTGCTTGGACATATTAGGCCTCGGTATTTTAAGTAAATAAATGCAATAAAAAGAGGTATGTAGGTGAGACCTTTTAATTTTGGCAGAATAAAGCAAACACCATAAATTAAGATTGATTCAACTCCTAAAAATCAAGAAAAGTTTGGATTACGAAATTTGATTTGAGGTGTTTTGATGTTCGTACTTCTTTAAAAAATTAAGCTATTGACTCTTAGTACCTTGATAGTGGTTGTTCCAAGCATATGACAGGTGAAAAGAATTTTTTTTGAGAAATTACCAAAGTTGTTCCGATGGTCATATGAACTTTGGTGATGGTAGGATGTGTTCTTGATCATTGGATAATTGTTACATTCTGTTACACCCACACACATTTCACAAACTTTGAAAATTGGTTGACAGTGAAACAATTGTTTTAGAATTTGTTGCAACAGGAAGACAACTTGTTAACATTTTTACCAAAGCTCTTGGTGCGTTGTGGTTTGAATCCTTGAGAAAAACATTTGGAATTCGTCTTATGTATTTATTTATTTATTTCATTTTTGTGCATTTGGGTTTTGCATTCATCTTGCTCATACGTATGGTCCACAATCATTTGTGCACAGCTTCACTTTGGAATTTTTAGATTTTTGATTGAATTGAGTTGTGATATGGATGATCTGCCATGAGAAAAGACCTACCCTGGTGATAAAGTGAAAGGCCCCAAAAATAAAATATAAAACTAAAAACCTGATCTAGATGAATAGGTAAGTTTGAACAGGTTTTTCATTTCCTGAAATTACTGATCTAGATGAATAGGTAAGTTTGAACAGGTTTTTCATTTCCTAAAATTTCAAGTGCTAAAATTGATGATGTTCAAAAAGGGGATATTTGTGCAAGTTCTTTCACATACTAACTTTGTTCATATTGAAATTCTATTTTGATATGAAATTGAGAATAGTACAGATTTTATTTTTTAACATAACTTTGAGTGGACTTCAATTTCTTGAGCATTGCATTTGCATGTAGATAGGCTTTTAAAATAATTAACTTTTTTTGAGGCTACCATTTTGGTTGCATTCTCTGTGCAAATTGGTTTCTTAGTTTAGAATATCATGAGTTGTTATTTTGGTGCAACAAATTTTTTGTGTTGGTTCTGCTGTCAACTTCATGTTGTTCTGTCTCCAGAGTTTGCAAGGGAAACTATTTTTTTTATTGCCTCCGTTCCATTCTCATTCTAATAAGTTTGTGGTGCACATTTAGGGGGAGACAAGATTATAGAAGATGTTGTACCATTTTCGTTTCAAAAAATTGTTGCAACAAATCTTGCAACAGATCTAACAACAGTCGGCGCTGAAGACGTGAAAGGGAGTTCCTAACTTCTTACTGTTTTTTTAAAGATGATCAGATTAGCTTGGGCAATATTTTTGCAGGTTCCTAACCGGTTTTTCTACTTTGGTCACTATTTTCTCAAAAAGGGGGAGTAGTGTTAGTGTTATTTTGTGTGATTTTGGGGGAGTTATTTCTTTTGATATTCTGTTGATTTTTAGTTTTGTTTGTGGATTCAATTTCCATTTCACTTTTTAATATTTTACCAAAACAATGCCAAAGAGAAAGATTATTGGGATTTGATTCTCAAATCTGTTTTGATTCTCTGATTGTTTATTGGTGATTAGCATTATTTTGGTAATGTTAAACTGATTGATCTATTTGACATGTACTAGAGAACTTCTTTGGAAAGAATCTGCTCATTTTGGAAATTATATAAAGTCCATGAAAGTTAACATTTACTTCAAGTTCGGTAAGTTAATGATTAATGATTTGATTGATATGAATGTGATTTGGCTAGCTAGACGAATTTCACTTACTTCTGAGGATCACGTGTAGGTTTGTGAGGCTTTACATGGAAAGACTTCAAGAATTAACGTGATTGATTTTTTAGATCAACTTTTTAACAGTAAATATTGTAGAAATTGTTGCAACAAGTTTTTGTAAGAAGTTGAGTACAACATTTTGCACTAAAGTCATTTGATAGCTGTTTTAGAAGGTCGCTTGCTTATTTGCAGCATGCCTTTTGTATTAGTTTTTCTGAGTGTGTGAGATCGGTGCGTGCAATTATAATTTCATTAATTCTTCGGGAGGAGGGTTTATAGTTTTTCAGGAGAGAAATTTTGTTGAGGAGGGTGTATGCATGTGTGTGTTTGATATTTGGATATTAAGTAGTCAATTAATATAGTTTTGAATACAATATAAAATTCAACTATTTTTGCTAGTTGGGTCATAAATGGGTTTTTTTTTCGTGTCGGCCCGTCACAGCACGTTTAGTAATCGTGTTCGCGTGTCGTATCGTGTTAATCGTGTTATTAGCGTGTCGTGTTCGTATTTAGATTTTTGACACGTTTATTAATCGTGTCGTGTTTGTGCTCACTATAATCGTGTCGTGCCGTAATCGTGTCGGCCCGAACATGGCCCACGAACACGAATTGCCAGCTCTAGACTTCACAATATATTTTTAATAACATTTTTCAAAACTTCAACATTTAAAAAAAAAAGTTTACATATGCATATTATATATTGCATGTAAATTAGAATTAGAAAAATGTTTTTTTAAGATAATATTTTTTAAGATTCGTTAAGAATAAATAGGGTTATCAAAATACTCCTAGATTATATACCATGAGTTAGTTTTATGTTAAAATCTTTAACAGAAGTTCTTTGTTGACGATATTTATAGTTGGGGAACATATATTAAGTTTTGAAAATCCGAGGGTAAAATATTACCCGGACCATTTTTTAATTAATCTCAATATATATAACATATACACATATATATATATATATGTACACGTATTCATAGAAAATGTGTGTAGCTCAAACATATATATATATATATATATATACACACTTTGGCCTTGTTCACTTCGCAGATTTGAGTTTTCAATTCGAGCTGAGATGTGATATTTTCTTAGAGCTTTTCACTGTAGCAGAAAAAGTTAGGGCCTCGTTCGTTTCGCTGATTCGAGTTTTGCTACAGTACAAAACTCTCACAAACAGTCACATCTAACTTTTTTGCTACAGTAAAAAACTCACATAAAATCACATATCAACTCAAATTATAAACTCAAATCAGCGAAACGAACGAGGCCCATGTGATATTTTCTGAAAGCTTTTTACTGTAAAAACTTAAAATTAAAAACTTGAATCAGTGAAATGAACGAGACCTTTATAAATATAAGAGAGTTGGGGTTTACTGTTTATGCAAACACAATTTACTGTTCCTTCTACAGTAAAATGACGCTTTTGCCCTTGATTTACTGTTATCTTCTTCTTCTGGTGCAGGGGTAGTTTGGTCTTTTAACGCGTCTCTGATGGGTTTTTCGGTTTTGCCTCGAGATTGCTTTTCACTGTTCACACAGGCACAAAACACTGTCATTTTTTTGAACACGAAAACCACTTTAGAATTAAACAGCCAAATCGGCAAGTACAACCGAAGATACAAAGTAAGGGATCATATAAACCCCAACAAAATCATGTGAACAATTAAAACCAAAGGAAGCTAAAACATGAGCAACATTATTACCACTCCTATTTATATGAGAGCACTCCCACCTCCCCATAGAGGATAATAACCGAACAATGTCCTCTATAATAACACCTTCTTCGCCCATCGTTAAGCTTTCCTTGACCGCTTGAACTACACGGACAGCATCAACTTCGGCCACGCTGATGGATAACCCCTGCTCTTGTGCGAAAATTAGGCCTTCCCGAAGGGCCATGCATTCAGCTAAAAAAGGTGAGAAAGAACCCGCAATCCGCTTCGCCAGACAAGCACATACTATTCCTTCCCCATCCCTGATGACAGCGCCTATCCCAATGGAACTCATACCCTCTCGAACTGCCGCATCAGTATTAAGCTTCAGAAGTCCAGCTGCCGGAGGTTTCCAGCGTACTTCACTAACAGGCACCGTAGTCCGATGTTTGGCCGCCGGATCCCAACAACTCTGAAAATCAGCAATTGTCCGCCCAGTTGTACCTAGGATCTCCATCGGCTCCCGATATACTCGGTGATGTACAAATTGATTCCGAGCCGCCCAAATCGCCCACGCCAGTACACAGAAAATTTCAAGATCCTCTCCAGTTGCTTCTTTGCTAAACATAACGCATAGAGCTTCAAAACCTCCAGTGTTGAGAGGCTCTAACTTGTGCCAAAGGGCACTCACTTCCCACACCTGAATAACAGCAGGACACATCCATAGAGCATGCCAAGTAGACTCCTCCTCCTCACCACAACACTGACATCTCGTTGCACAATTAATCCCCCTCCTTGCTAAATTGGCAAAGGTTGGTAAAAAACCGGAAGCTGCCCTCCACATGAAATTCTTGATTTTATTCGGGATATGAAGATCCCACAGTTTCCTCCACCACACACTATCCCCTCTCCCT